TTTAATCTGTTCACCTGTTGATGGATATTAGGGTTGCAGCTTTTGGCTATTAAAAATGAAGCTACTGAAAACAATAGAAATGTTTAAGGAAGCATAGGTTTTCATTTCTCATGGGCAAATTGGATTGTCTGTAACATTTAAGTTGTATGGTCGGTGTGCCTTTAACTTCTTGGTAACCTGACAAACTTTTTCCCAAAGTGGTTGTGCTTGTTTACATTTCTACCAATAACATGGAAGAGTCTCATTTTCTCTACACCCTTGCCAGCTATTGATATGGTCAGTCTTCTGGATTTTAGCCGTTCTACCAAGGATGTGGTGGCATTGCATCGTGCTTTTCAATTGATGCTTCCATAATGACTAATGGTATTAGACATTTTTATGTGCTTTTTTGCTTTTTATATGTATTCTTGGGTGTCTGTGTCTTTCACACAATTAAAAAAACTGGGTTATTTTTCCTCTTATTGTGTTTTGGTCATTGTTTATATATTTTGGATATAAATCCTTTCTCACATAACGTGCTTTTTAAATGTCTTCTCCAGCCTATCGCTTGTCTTTATTCTTCTAAGAGCATCTTTTAAATGGTTTTTAATCTTAATGAAGTACAATTTATCAATTTTTCTGTTTATGGGATGTATCAAGGAAATCTGCCTAATTCAAAGTGACAAAGGTTTTCTATTTTCTTCTAGAAGTTTTATAGTTTTAGGTTTGATACTTAGATCTGTGGTCTATTTTGAGTTAATTTTTGTGATGATATGGGGTGTGGATCCAAGTTCACTTTTGAATATGGATGTCCAGTTGTTCCAGTACCTTTTGTGGGAACAATTATCTTTTTCTTCCCTGAATTGCCTATTGAGATGATCATAGAGTTTTTCTTTTATAGTTTTCTAGAATGGTTAGTTGCATTGATTTTGTTTTAATACTAAGGCAGTTAAATTTTTGTTATAAGCTCATGATGTATTATCCTTTTATTTATCTTTGTGAATTTGAGTTGCTAATATTTTATTTAGAACTAGAGGCCCAGTGCATGGATTCATGCACCGGTGGGGTCCCTCAGCCTGGCCTGTGCCCTCTTGCAATTCGGGACCCCTTGGAGGATGTCAGACTGCTGGTTTAGGCCTGATCCTCAGCTAACCCCAGCCCGCTGTGCCTGCCACCGCCACTCAGTAGTGTTGTCGCGGAGTCAGGAGAGGCTCGCGCCACTGTAGCTGCACTTACCAGCTGTGAGCCTGGCAGCTGGTGCCCATTGGTAAGCTGAGCTGCACTCCCACTGTGGGAATGCACTGACCACCACAGGGCAGATCCTGCATTGCACATCTGCCCCCTGATGGTCAGTGTGCATCATAGTGACTGGTCGACTGGTTGTTTGGTCACTTAGACATTTATATATATACTAGAGGCCCGGTGCACAAAAATTTGTGCACTCAGGGGGGGAGGGGAAGGTACCTCAGCTGTGCCTTCTCGCAGTCTGGGACCCCTCGGGGTTGTCCACCTGCTGGCTTAGGCCCGCTCCCTGGGGAATAGGGCCTAAGCTGGCAGCCAGACATCCCTCTGGCAGCCCGGGAGCCCTTCGGAGATGTCCACTTGCCATCGGGGAGCAGGCCTAAGCAGCAGTCGGACATCCTTAGCGCTGATGAGGAGGAGG